ATAAATAATTAACTTTTAAGACGAATAATTAAGATTTAAAAAATAATACCTTAAAAAAACCGAAAAAGTTTTCATTTTCGTAATCTTACTTGTGCACAAACCACAAACCACATCTCTATTACTATTTATTTTTTATTCTAGGGTGCCAAGAATAATGCACCTTTGAGATTAAATGTTTTCCGTGACTGTTGTGAAAATTTGCGACCAGCATTCCATCATTTCTTGCTTGAAAATTATTTATCGCCCGAGACGTGGTTTGAACGCCGATTGGCTTACACACGAAGGTAAATTCTCTGTTTTATTTAAAGTTATTTCTACATTAGTTTTTATACTATTAAAACCTTTATAGCGTGGCAACAACATCGATAATTGGATACATTCTTGGTCTTGGAGATAGGCACGTTTCAAATATTTTGATTGATAAAACAACAGCGGAAGTTATTCATATAGATTTTGGTATTTAAACTTATTTTACATGTCATAAATTTATTACAAATATAAATTAACGTTGTTAATATTATCTATAAAGGTATAGCATTTGAACAAGGTAAAGTTTTACCAACACCAGAAACAGTTCCATTTAGACTGACAAGAGATATCGAAGTGGCCATGGGAGTTTCAGGAATAGAAGGAACAATGAGACGGTGTTGTGAAGAAACTATGTCTGTTTTACGAAAACAAAGAGAAATTATTGTGACTTTATTAAGGGTTTTATTGTACGATCCACTTTATTCGTGGGCTATCACCCCAGCCAAAGCTGCCACATATCAAAGCGAAAATTCTTCTAGACTGAGTGAAAGCAGTAGTCCAGGTAATTAATTTACTATTCTAAAACTGTATTACTATGCTAATTCTATTTATTAATCTACGTACATACAACTATTAAAAATACGAAATACATGTACGATTTGACAAATCCATAAAAGTGAAAACACTAAGTTCAAGCACATGAGATCCCTACGGTCTGCAAACTAAACATAAATAGCGAAAGTACTGTAGCAGAGAAAAAGAGAAAAACGGCGTTGCATCGACAAAAATTTACTACCCGTGATCTCTTGATGTCAGAGTGATGGAGATATTATCACCCGATCGGAAAGTTAGTTCGGTAGGCCCAAAGTTGGCTACCAAGGTAGGGCATACCTGTGTCATTTACGCGGCGCAAGCATGGCGCTACCTT